TACCGGACACGCGTGGACCGGGTTCACGGGAAGGTTAATGCTATCCACCGGGGCTGAACCGAGAGACTGTCGGCCCCGGTCAACGGAGCGATCAGCTCGCTGTCGCCTGGGACTCCATATAGCCTACCCGGGTCGGCTAACCTAAATAGACAACCTAAGAAAATCCACTCACACTTGATGAATCGTCCTGCTATTAAATTCGGACAAAAACCTCGCATTTATTTCCCAAAAATGCAGATTTGAAATAACGACCAAAGAGGTTCATCAACAATCAATGACAAAACAATTTCAGTGGCCATTGGGGCTAATTGGTTTAAATTGATGATTAATACCAATAGTTTAAAAATCATTGATAATGATGTGAGAAATAACTCCCAGTGTGGTGAAAAATTGAAGCTGTTGGATGATATTTTAGTCTAAACACGGCCGATTCAAGATCCAGTACATTAGCGGTCTACGATAACATCTCAACTGTATCTTTGATACATGTATATCAGAGAGGGGGGGGGTTGAGACGGGAGAGAGAAACTGCTGTAGCAGAGTGGTTATCGACTGGAGTTGTGCAAAGCTTAAATGAAGACCCTTATCAACGTTTCGGTCCCTGAAGGGTCCCTCTCACATTGGCAAAAAAAGGGTCATGTTGGGAAAGATCATGTTTGAGTTCGAACCTCGGGGCTTCTCTAGCTTTGTGCGTGAATGTATACACATACCTTACCATGGCAACAAGCCGGAGAGATCGAAATGCAAGCTGATGATGTTAATCGTGCGCCAGATGGCCCCTGAACATGACCATTTTACTTTTGTCTTTTGTTTTTTCCCCCGCCAACAGCGTGAGTTACGAGCCCGTTGCGGCTTCAGGGCTCTGCCAAAGCAACTTAATGTACACGTACCGTGCATAATTACGCAAAGCCGCGTATTTGACCGAGGCGAGGTGGGCACATTACAGGGAGCCATTCATCATCCAAACGAGGCATGGGGGCCATTTCGTCACACCTTGCCGCGGTCAATTATAAAGCTCCAGCTTGTAAATGATGCGAAGACACAGATGCGAGAGAGGAAAGAGCAGAACTTGGAAACTCTGACCGGGAAACGCCGCACGAACATCACTGTATCCAGCGCAAAAAAAAACAATCTACTTCTCATGTGCGGGGGGGGGGGCTGCACCACATCACGATGTGCCAATAGACTGCAATTCTTGTGTCGGCCATCTTGAATTCAAAGCGAGGTTAACTCTTCATTTTGGAACCTCAGAGTAAAAAAAGCCGCAAGGACATATACGCTCTTTAAATATTCATGCCAATTTTCGTGATGAATTATATCTGAAATATTTAAAGCCACATCAAATTAAAAAAAAAAATTGAAAGTGAGGCTTGGAACCCATACTAATTTGGCACAACCCCATTTAACAAATTATTTTAAACGCGACAGATTCAGGAAACACGATTCAAAATTGCTTCCCTGTTGAATGTTTACTATGTGTATACACAGCAGGCTGGTGTTCATTTAACACACTCGGTGTCCACACGACAATAGAGGACTGGTGCTGCTCTGCATTGACACCCGCGAGTTTTGGATTTACACCAATAGAGCACCCCTTTTATTACAGAGCACAGAATATGATGACTGAACTGATAATTTCCATAGATGTCATCATACATCATCTTCTTCCTGATCAAACACCAAACTCGACATTCACTCGCCTGGTCACATTTCCGCTTCTCTTTAACATTAAAAATACACACAAAAAACCCCCAAAACTGGCTCCTCTTCACCCTTTTCAACAGACACAAACAGGAGAAGTCAAGATTTAGTCTCAAGGTCTTTATTCACAAACTCCCCACAAATTTATTCTTCTCTGAAATCAGTACCACACTACAATTGTGTTCTGCTTCATAACGGAGACATATTTTTCCTTTCATTGTCGTTCCAATTTCAGATAAAATATATAAAACTGAAATCGTAAAGTGTACTTTTAATTAAATTCAAATTTTGGACAGGAAGTTTTCTTCATTAAGTCGCAGTTGAGATTTCAGGTAAAGACAATTTTACAGGTACAGTTTGGGAATGAAAAGACGACCTATTTGAAATATTCTAGCCCCTATTTCATCAATAATGAATCAATGTCGAGTGACTTTTGAAATTATCCTTTTTTTTTTCATTCATTCGACAGGAGATTTGCGAAATTAATTTTGGAGTGTAAAAAGTAAGACACATTTCCAGCTAAAACTGCAATGCTTAGGCCTAAGTGACTTTGAGACCTTTTGTTAAAAAAACAGAAGAAATCCAACGCGTAGCGAGAGCATGTCACACATGAAAAAAATCTCCGCAAGAAGAGACTTACGGTGGTTGAACAGTCCCACGATGGTTGGCGAGTTAAAAAGCCCGTATCTTTGAGGTTGAAGAACCTGCACGGCAACACACGTCATTATGATCTTACCGCAATTTTCTTGAGCCTGAAGGCCCAGAGTGCGTTACCTTTTTTTCTGACGGTATGATAAACCCGGGATAGGACAACATTCCGCGCCAAAGTGCTTTCGAAGTCTCCGGGGCTATCGCATGGCCTCCGCAATGCGACCTAAAAAGAAGCGCCGGCCTGCTTCAACCTTGAATCCGAGAGGCCTGTTCGGGACTTTAAAAAATGCCGAGATCTTCGATTCCCTCGGCCGGCGACATGATGAAACCGCTCAGGTTTGTTCGGATTAATAAAAGACAATTTAAATGAACGGCATCAGCATCGGATGATATCAAATAATTTTTTTTGCTCTTTTATATATAGTGTCGGTAATCGAAGAAGTTCCTTGTTCTTATTAAAACAATCTTGCCAAAGTTGGACAGGTGGGAAAAATATAATCAGGGGCCAATTTCACAGAACTGCTTAAGCACAAAATTTGCTTAAGCAGGAAAAAACTTTGCTTAATAAACAAATATTGCCAGCTCAAACTCTATCTGATTGTTATGCAAACCAAAAACAAAACAAAAAAAAAAAAAAGAAAAAAAGAAAAAAAAAACCCAAAACAGCTAAATACAATTCCAAAGCAATATACTTCACATGGAGTTTTGGCTGGTTACCGGATTTATCAAGTAAGGTTTTCTCGCGCTTAAGCAAACTTTGTGCTTAAGCAGCTCTATGAAATTGGCCCCTTTAAAATCGACAACAAAAATGATTTAAGGCCAAACAACTATGATCCGACTGGACCAATCTGCGGCTATATTCGAGCCCATTACAGTTCCAGTCACAGGCACTGCCTGTGGGAAAAGGAAGCCGGGGTGGCAGCAAAAAACGACGGAGGATAAAGCGGAGTTAAGGGAGCGGGTGCCCTCCAAAAAGCAAGATGGACACTGAGGCAACGAAGACACTCCCTGCCAGGATGAATCCATGCGAAGGAGCGGGGGGTTCCTCCGCACTTAGAGGGTGGTGCTCACCCTGAGAAGCGGGCTGCATGGTCCGACTCGATTGAGTCTTCCCGGTGGCACCCGACCTGAACAGAGTCTAGTGCCTCCCAAACGAGGTTAGTGATGGGAAGAGGAGCGGCGCCGCGGTAAGGCCGCCCCCCCCCCAAAAAAAAATATGGTGCGAGTTCTGTCGTTGAGGGAAGACAGAGCCACGCTTGTGAAGTCTTCGGGAAAAAATGCACGGCCTACCGCCCCTGTAACCTAGACAAAAGTGTCTGAGACTCGGAGTCCTTTGTCGGCGTGAGGAAGAACTTGCAGTGTCCAGGAGAACTAGTTCAGTCGGTAGACGCAACACGTTTGTCTTTAGCCACAGCTCAATTTAAATAACTTATGGCGTGGCTTTAGACGACACGACGAACTCGTGAGAGCGTGGAAAAGACTTGTAATGGTCTCGATTACTGAACGAATGCTGAACGGGTTCTATTTCAGTACACGTAGAGTTACACGATGAAGAGGCACTGGGCCCGTTTTGTCACACGCTGAGAATAAAGACATTGGCAAAACTCGAGCTTTGGTGATTATTCATGCTTTGCAAATCACATTTTTCTCCTGACTTCGAGTTCGTACCTGTGGTTCATATCAGATCCGCACTTTTCCTATCCCGGTTATCACAAGGGTGTTGGAGAAATCATCTCTCTTTCAGGGATAACTTGCACAGCATTTGATTTGGTTTGCTGTGATTAAAGATGTCAGAAAGAAGAGGCAGTGAACCGAAGCTTTGAGGATTTGAGTCGAACTAACTTGGAGTCTAATACACTTAAGATGGCACCTGTCACGTAGGCCCAAAAAACAAACCCAAAAAAAAAAAAACCTGATTCCACATCTTACTAAAGGATAGAAACTAACACCCGACATTTTAGACCCGAGCCCCCTGGGCGTGTTCCAAGTTTCTTTTTTTTGGGGGGGGGGAGTACGGGTAAGACTACCTGTCCACCCGTCTCTGGTGTCTAGCGCGCATTCAGCAGGCGACAATTAAGTAAGATGCACTCTGGACGCTCTCCTCCCCGCCTCAAATCCCGAGGATTTGAGATGCTCTGTTTAAAGTGCCATTCCTTCAACCGCCCCCCCCCCGAAAGCGCACCAAGCGTGGTGCGCCGGCGTCATTCAAGCAGTTCAACACCCTTCTTATCATAAATAAAGAAAAGAGGCATGCGTTGTGCTCGCTCGCGCCAACCTTGAACCAGATATCAAGTGATGGAGTTCCACTCTCGGTTTTCGTCTGGGTTATTGCTACCCTTTCCCTGGTTTTTTTCTTTCTTTTTTTTAACTCCCTTTTCGTTTCCCAAACAAGCTCTTCCCAGGTTTTCCGAGGAGGCCTGAGATCGATTACGAGTATTTCCTTTAAAAAAAAATTGAAAAACTTGGTTCAAGAGGATTTGGCTGCGATGGCATTTGGACTTCTCTGTGCCCGGAATTAAGGGTGGATAAAGAAAGGTGTTTGCGAAGCAGTTGGGAGGTATCTATGGCACAGATTGTGTATCTTCCAACCATGGGGGAAGTTGAGAAATTCACTCTCAAATGTTTGAGAGCGACACCAACACAGTTCTAGCGTCGCAGACTGACGTCAGTCGACGCCAGCTATTTTTTTCTTCAATGGGACCTGACATTTAACCATTTCAATGGTACAATTTACGGAGGATTCAACGGACAAATAACACCAGCGACAACAATCATTGCTTGAGTTCCAACGAGAAATTAGTCGGAACAAAGATAACTTACACTGGAAAGCAAATGTGAAACTCTATTTTGTGATGTCTTGCCAGAAGGTTTAATGTTGTTCTCTCTCCATACAGCAGTGTCAAATGTTTTACAGTTGGTTCACTTGGAGTGACGGGCTCATGTTTGGTGAAAGTGAAATAAACTGACTCTCCCGGTATCAATAACTGGTTTTTGTTTTGCTGTAGCCCTGATAAAACCCAAGTCACTCCCAAGTCTTTGACACTGTGCGTGCATCGTGGATGGGCCTCAATATTTTGGGCCTAAAGTCTAACTTCAAGAATGAACAAGACGGTGTGTAAAACACAGCGAAAATGAGGTTTGATATGAGCGTGGACATACAGGTTACAATTTGCAGGTTAATCACTTTTTTGGGGGGGGCACACCCTCCAACTACATGCAAATTACACCGTTCTCTGATATCCTCTACAACAAACCAATTAATAACAGACTAATCCTCTCAAAGATCCTATTCACATATTCAGATAACCGTACTCTTTAGAGCATCCGCTGCTAACGGCTTGAAATGAGTCTACTGCATCATATATCCCATCATGCCCTGGGTCACCTGACTCATGAGCAGTGAAGGGGTGTATGTAATGCCCCGATTGCTTGACGACCACACTGGCTGATGACCTTTTACCTTTGCCGTGCTCCTTTTTTTCCCCCTCTCCATCAGCTCTTGACTCATATCATGTCCCGACGTTTGGCTTTCGAAGAAGAAAGAATCGGGCAAATCACATGATCTGCAGGAACCAAACAAACCAAATCAATCCTAATTAAATGCAAGATAAAATAGTAAAGTTTTGGGAGCAATATGTACAAAAAAATTCCCCTCAAACTCTTGAAAACATAGCTTGTTTTGATATGCCGGTTATCTACTGGATATCAACAGGATGTATCTCAGGGTTATATTCCTTGCCAACAGTGATCTGATGCCAGTGTGTTCCTGGTTCGCGTCAAGGGCATCGGGTAAAGAATACACTCACAGACAAATGGTAATTACAAATAAACATGACAAAAAGGAAATTTTATGGGGACGGTTTTCTGGATGGCCTTGGTGGACCACGATTGAAGAGGCAAGTGTGTCATTGGCTCTACTGATTTTCTTTTGATGAAAGATGTAGGATACTGATAAGACTCTCAAGTACAGAGTCTCCATCTCGGTCTAGTACCGAGAAGGGTGTGTGTGTGTGAGTTTGTTTCTGCATTCAATTGAGGACCCCAAACACTAGAGGACAGTAAGGTCCCCGATTGACAACTGTATACAAAACATATGGGTGACCTTCTAAAAAAGTTGAAGTACAAACAAAAGAGGAACAATAGGGGGTCCCCAGTTGCAGGCAAATACACACTTGGGTGTGGGTGGGTGGGGTAGCCAGGGTGACAAAGCAATGATTTAGACCTGACAATACAGTGAACAAGTTTTCCATGCACACTAGGACATGGGCCCTGCTTGTGGGTTTGTCAGAGGGTAAAAGAAGAACAACAAAACTGTGACTACTGAGGGTTTGCTTTGGAAAAAAGAAACTAGTGCCGCGTCTGGGATCACTGGCAAAACCACTGATGAGATGGACTCCTGGTTTAGGGTCATGGGTCATTCTACAGATCTGGGTCAATTTTTTCCGCTCCCATTACACAATTATGGCATATGATGTCGTAAGCTTAGAACGCATTCTTAAATTTCCAAGAGTGATTAAGTAACGCAAATTATCTACCAGAGAAATTTAAAAAAAAGTTGAAGTCAATTACAATGATCATCCCTTGTCAAATTACACAGGTCCAGTGTAACAGGGACAGATATGTCACACTTTGGACCCCACTTTATAGAATGACCTAACTGAAGTGGCTCTCAGGTTTAACGGCCTGCTAATCTTGGGTGTCTGTTCACAAGCAGGATACTTTACTGCAACTGACTGCCAACCCTTTTTTGCTACTGAATGAATTTGCGACCAAACATGATGACAGTGAAGGTAGTGAACAATTTTCTAATGGAATAACCACTTTCTACAAGTCAGGTTCTAATGTCACTAATAACAGGAATCTTCATTACCAAAAATGCTTTTGTCACATGTCACGGGAACATCAGCACACAAGGACACTTCTAATTAAAATGAAAGTTGAGGCCTGACCTGACAAAACAACTTTATATTTGGAAGGTCAAGTCAACACGGATGTACATATCTGTTACCAGAGTCTGTCTGGTTTCAAGTAACTTTGTCCTCGCTCCAGACCAACCCAAAACAGTGTCACTGTACACACCCTTTCAGTTTCAAATGCTGAATCATTAGAAAGGAGATGAAGAACGATCATGAGACACTACTTTAGAAAGTTCCTCGCTTGCTGTATTTGACTAGACTTAACAGGTGCTCATTATTGGTGCTGTGATTGGCTTGTGACTGGTTTGTGGTTGACTTGTGATTGGCTAGTGACTGACTTGTGATTAGCTTGCGATTGACTTGTGGTTGGCTGGTGAGTGTCTTGTGATTGGCTGATGGTTGGTTAGTGAGTGGTTTGTGATTGGTTTGCGATTAACTTGTGACTAGCTTGTGATTGGTCTGTGACTTGCTTGCGATTGGCTTGCGATTGACTTGTGATTAGCTTTCGATTGACCTGTGATTGACTTCTGATTGCCTTGCCATTGACCTGTGATTGGCTAGTGATTGGCTTTTGATTAACCTGCTACAGGCCTTTGATTTACTTGTGATTTGACTTCTTATAAGCTTGCAATGGACTTCAACTACAACTTTAGCTGAGAAAACAAGAAAATTTTCTTTCATGGGACCTACAACTGTGGGTATAGGACTCAGGAGACAATTTTTCCCAATGGAGGGTGATGTCTCATTCAAAGCAGTTTCAGTGTTCGGTTTCCTTCCACTATGAAGAGCCAAAAATGCCTCTCTCATCTCACACTTTTCCCCACCCACAACCCTGTTTAGTAGGAAGTGGGTCTAGCACAGTTCCAATTTTTATGATTCAAGGCTAGGAACTGTCTGTGTAAAGACTGCGGGAAAAACACAACCTTTTTTGCTGACTAACTTTTTCTAATGGAGCCCAACCAATCAGGGTAATTCCCGCCAGCAGTTTTGACCGCAAGGTTTCTCCACCAGAAAAAAAAGGCAAACAAACAACTCCAAATGTGGGCAAACGGCACTGGGACAGTGACCAGACCGACAAGAAATCCACGCCAAATCATGGAAAGGAAATCACACGCTCAGGAAACATTAGCAATGCAGGAAACAATATAAAAACAGAAAGCCACACGTGGGCCGGGGTGTTGCGGGGGCTGGCCCAGTCTGTCGACCAGGCCCCGGTGAGGACTGCGAAACCAGGGTGAACTGCTGATCATAACATGAAAGGGACGACCACGCGTTGGTTTGGCCAGGAAAGAGGTATATACAGTACTCAGAAAGAGAGGGTAAAAATAGAATTTGAATCTGGGAGTGGAGCAATGATCAGACAATGGTTTGGTATCGCTTCAAACTCTTAGAGCAGATGGGCAAACTCATCAGCCTGGCGGTGGTGAAAAGGAACGCAAATTCACTTCAATGACGTACAGGATGTAAATGTTTGTATTTTTGTCCGCACCTCCTGCAAATGCATTGGTTCTGTAAAAGAGTGATGAAAGAAAGAGACAAAAAACAAAACAGAACACAAACTAAAAAAACAACCCTGCACTGAAAATATGTTCACAAATGAAACTAAAGCACTGACTGAAATTGCTCTTGTGGGGAATTTTTTTTTCAAAGACTGGATTCTGAAACTTCTTCATCTGCTTTGGAAAAGACGGCAATCTGCTCAATAGACAAACATGACGACTGACAGACAGACAGGAAACTGAGAAACAAGAAGAAAAAATGTGAACCCTATAGAGGTAGCTTCAGTCTGGCACCATTGAAGGCACACTCCGTCTCCCTTTCTATTTATTGATGTCAAACAAGACAACGCCAGATAATTCAGTTTATTAACACTGATACTTTGTCAGAGACGGGATGATGTGAAGGTCGGACCATAATCCTTCTGAGCCACAGATTACCCGAAAAGGATTCTACAAGCCCCCCTCCTTACCGGCAGTAAGCCTAGAAGCTGTCTCCTTCTGATCATGTTTTGCCCGGTCAAAAACAAAGCGAGGCTTATGCGTAAATGGCTCTGATCACATTGGCAAGGTTCATGTAGTGTAGGCAGCATGTGTTCCGACACCATCAAGGGCTGGGCTTGTGGGGAGAAGTTACCAGGTTTTGTCAAGGACGGGTGGGGCAAAATTAAAAGCAGGCTTGATGGGAAAGGTCTGTCGGTGGTGGGGATATTTTGGGGTTGGGGATTGATTGACCAGGAGAGAGGAGGTCAGGTGAGGGAGGAAAAGGGATAGCTTGGGACATGAAGGAAAAATCAAGAGACAATGAGGCCATCTTTTGAGACAGAATTCATGGTGCGATGAATGTTATCCACTTCAGGCTTCAATATATGGTCAGGGACCAGCAACAACAAGGTAAGGGAAAGGAGACTGTGGTTTGGTGTGAGGTGCATACGACAACCGGAGGGTGGGGCTAGGGTGCAAGGGAGCAGTCACATAGGGAGAAAAGACTGTTAGACTTCTGATCATTCATGGCAAATCTTTTACTTTGTTGAAAATATGGGAGCATATCAGAAAAGCAGCCTGTGGGACACTCATGCGCACTTACAAGATGACAATGGGTTTAATAAGCATTTCCCTAAGAGAAATCCAAACGTTTCTCTTTGTCATGAGGTTCTCTTTTCCCTAACATCCAACTCTTAAAGTGAGCCATCCTGTCCATCTTCCAGTTGAACAAACAGATTAATAAGTTATTGATGGAAGGTTTTGACTCCATCAGGATCCAGAGAAACTGTGCTGCATGTGATCTGGAATGTTTTGAGAGGGATGAAAAACTTGCACAAAATATCAACCACAAGCTTTAGCACATCGGTCATCGGGAGTATGAGCAGCCAGACACCAGGAACTCATTATGGACAAGCAGGATTAAGTCAATATCAAAGGCAGCTATAAAATTCTCTTCCAATCAACACTGAAATTCTCCCCTCCCCCCCCCCGTTAATAAAACTCGGGTAATAAAAGCAAGCCGTATACATAAGCAGGGTACTCATTCCCGAGTGGCAAGTATGTTATCTAGCTATTCCAGCTTACCCTGGCGCCAAGCTACTCCATCAGATTATGGGCAGTTTAATATACCAATCCATTCCAATTAACACCAAAACTTGAGCCAAAATGTGGGCATTTTGGGGGGGAGGGAGATCTGAGTTTTAATATATACCTCAGCGGCAGACACCATTGTGCATCTTTATGATGGAATGGCAAACCTTGTTCCCAGCAGCTGATTTCGACCACAGTCTCAATGCTGGCTGTGGCAGCGTTATATATATTTATAAACACTGTATCTAACTTGGCATCTCATTTAACTTTGCATCATGTGTCTCATCCAACTTTACATTCCTCTGGACACAAAAGAGCAACCTACCCCAGGCCAAGTTGACCATCAATAACGAGCCAAGACCGTGAGGCTGACTGAGTGGCCTTGCAATGCCTCCAGTTTACCTCCAAGTACCCAAGACTCATCCCACCCTGACCAACGACAACGATGCCGACCACAAGACCAGCTGCTGTAACAAGTTATCAACTGCATGGAATGGCAACATTCAGCTGATCAAAAACACTATTATTCACCCTGACAGAGAGCTGGGAGCCAGGATAGAGAGGTGTGTCTCCGTC